TAGGTTGGCTTTTTAAAACCTCTTCCTGCAACAACTTAAGTCTGGGCATGGCCTGAGGCATTTCTAACAGGGGAACAAGTTGGGAAGGCTTGTTAGCAGCAGCTGAATAATATCTAGGCCAGTGATAGTGAACCTTTTAGAGACCGAGTGCCCAAACTGCGACCCAAAACCCACTTATTTATCGCAAAGTGCCAACACGACCATTTAACCTGAATACTGAGGTTTTACTTTAGAAAAAACAACTCAGACATTAACTTAAAGATGACCCAAACAAAGTAAGGAAAGCAATCCCAAACGCTTTCATTGACTTAAAATTATTTGGCAGAGAATTCGACACTTTAATGATGGTCTGGGCCTGGCTGGAGCGATGGCACGCGTGCCCACAGAGAGGGCTCTGAGTGCCACCTCTAACACCCGGGCCATAGGTTCGCCACCACTGATCTAGGCTAACTTTACTTTCTCCTTTTCTTGCAGGTACTTTAGTCCAGGTGTGGCCAAGGGCATGAACCAAAAGCCTCTTGACCTGTGGCTTATAACCCAGAGGCCTATGATGCCCTGTTCCCCTGTCCAGGATGTGTGTGTTTGCCCTGTTTGTTTAATCTGACCTGTATTTAATTTTTCTAAAAATGTGTGTATGGCGCTTTGGGTCACTTTGGGGAGAAAAATGGTGTGTAAGTACCCTAACTGATACATTGACAGGTTACAGGAAACATTGTCCCATGGGTTTTTCCTTGGGACCTTGTTGCTGCGCCTAAACTTTGGAACTCCCTTACCATGAAGCTTTGTTTATTGTGCTGTCATAAACAGAGTTATACCCTCCTAAGCCCATTGACTTCATGGGACTGTGCTTATAATGGCATAGCGCAGACTGGAAGGTTGGTAGTTCAGCAGTTCGAGACCTGAGTGCCGCATGACGGAGTGAGCGACATGACGAACCTAGCAGTTCGAAAGCAAGAAATTGCAAGTAGATAAATAGGTACCACTACGGTGGGAAGGTAACAGCGTTCCATCTGCCTCGGGATTATTCTTATGAAGTACTTCTTCACCCAAAGAGTGATTCACACATGGAATTCACTGCCTACGGGGAGGGCGGGGTAAAAATCTAAATAATAAATAAAATAAATATAAAATACAAGCATGGACGGCTTCAAAAGGGAATTAGATAGACATATGGAGCAGAGGTCCATCGGTGGCTATTAGCCACAAGGTATAGATAGGGGCTCTGGGGCAAGTGATGCTCTGTCTTCTTGGCGCTTGAGGGGGCCAACAGTGGGAGGGCTTCTAATGTCCTGGCCAAAGTGGTGGACCTTCTGATGGCATCTGGTATTTTTGGCCACTGTGTGACAGAGTGTTGGACTAGATGGGCCTTTGGCCTGATCCAACACTGGTGTCTCTTATGTTTCTATGATTTAGTCATGCTAGCCACATGACCACGGAGAAGTCTTTGGACAGCGCTGGCTTTTCGGCTTGGAAACGGAGATGAGCACCACATCCCTAGAGTCAGGTTCGACTGGCTTTTGAGCAAGGGAAACCTTTACCTTTTACATAGAGTCCTCTTTGCAGGGTTGGGTTTTTAAAAAATTTCCAGAAGGCTTGCATGCAAGAATTTTATCCATTTTATCCTAAGGTCTGCTTAACGGCTTTGCTTCATACTTACTTGCTTAGCTCTCCTGAGCTGTTTTGGACATGATAATCATGGGAAAGTATAAAAATGTTCTAAATAAATCAATGAGAAGTTCTTGTTGGGGTTATCTGGACCATGGGTAAAGCAAGGTACATGTGACAAGTTAGTTTTGGGGACTCTGGTGTAAGCCATTGGTCCCTGCTTTATAGAAGGAAATTCAGAAGAGTAGCTGTGTTGCATCTGATGAAGTGGGCTGCAGTCCATAAACACACTGGAATAAATCTTGTGAGTCGTTAAAATGGCAGAAGACTGCAGTTTATTTTTTGTTATAGGCAGGGTTGTTTCCTAGCACCATGCTTTGCTTATGTAATTTGAAACAGGAGAGGAGAAGAAGAAGAAATTGGATTTATACCCCGCCCTTCACTTGGAGTCTCAGAGCAGCTTACAAACTCCTTTCCCTTCCCCTCCCCACAACAGACACCCTGTGAGGTGGGTGGGGCTGAGAGAACTCTGACACAAACTGCTCTTTTTCAAGGACAGCTGTGCCAGAGCTTGTGACTGACCCAAGGTCACATCAGCAGGTGCAAATGGAGGAGTGGGGAATCAAACCCAGTTCTCCCAGGTTAGAGTCCGCACACTTAACCACTACACCAAACTGGAGAATGACGTAAGCTGGCTTGGATCCCCATTGTGAAAAATAAATGAAGTAAATGAATATGGAAATGGAGGGGGGGGGATAAAAGGTAGGGAA